GTCTGTCTGTCTGTCTGTCTGTCTGTCTGTCTGTCTGTCTGTCTGTCTGTCTGTCTGTCTGTCTGTCTGTCTGTCTGTCTGTCTGTCTGTGTGTGTGTGTGTGTGTGTGTGTCTCTCTCTCTCTCTCTTTCTCTCTCTGCTATTGCCACACACACACAGAGCCGAGCTTGAATAACACAAGCACACGTTTATTTCCATGCCACTCTCTGGTCTGGTGTGTTGCCTCTGTTGCATTCACTGAACACGGGAAATTACAGTACTGCCGTCCTCTCTTGTGTCATGATGAGGTTCACGTAAAGCACGGTTAATGTATTATATTATTGAGGGAGAATTATTCGGGGCTACAGAAAAAACATTCGGGGCTAAAGCCCCGGATGCCCAGGCCAGGCGAAGCCACTGGTAACCACCATGTGTGGACCTGGATAAAGTGTTTAAGTCATGGATGTTTAACATTTTTAAAAACTGTATTCAAGCTTTGTTTTAAGGGTACAGAGGAACATATTTCATACAAATAATGATATTTAATTAATATCATGTGTGTGTATATACAATTCATTACTTTGAACAGATGTTAGCAGAATTCCTGAACCATTCTTCCTGGGAAAAGTGATGTTTACATTTCCCTTTTCTTAGAAAGTAAGGAATCAAGCTTTGCATCAGTCTGAAAGAAAGAAATGCACCTCTAAAAAGGTTTAACACAATGACTGAGCAATGGAGGGTCCTTCGGCCCCCACAACAGAGAATCAAAGTCTTCTTCACCATCTCTCTCCTCCTCTCGTCTCTTCAACTTCTTTCTTGAAGCCAGCTGAGCAGTGAGCTTGTGCAGCTCATGAATCACTTTTTTAACATCCAGTGTGTGCTGCGAGGCCGTCAGAGTGGCTGCGTTGAACGGGAACGTCCGGATAAAGTCTCCGACTCTGAGCGGAGGAACTTGTTGTCGGTTCAGTGCTGCCGGCCTCTCTTTTCTTACTCTCCGAATCCCACTGTGAAACAATCACAACACGTGTTTGTTATCTGAATGAATGGCTGGAATTGGGTCATTAATGTGGGAATGAAAACAAGAATCACACGACGATAATAATGACATACATTCCTGCATACTTGATCAAAATGTCTTGTGAATTCAGAAACAAATGTTTTCTGGAGGGAATAATTAGTAATGAACTGAGCTTGTATATATACACACTACATAGGAGCAGGACACACATTTATTTTAGCTAGCCTCTTTTGTTGTTGTTGTTTTGTGTCACTTTTTTCTTATTATAGTCAAGTTCTATTTCGTATATGGCTTCGCCCTCTAAGGCTATCGCTATTGGGTAATCCCCCTGCGCACCCGCGCAGCACTGAAACACTTGTAGTCCACGCCCACCCGCAAGGTGGGCCCCGCCCTCGGGCCTCCTTCCGGTATAAATAGGAAGGTGGCCCGGCAATCTGCTCCCTCTTTTCTTCAGCAAACCTCGGCAGTTACTGAAGCACAGAACCATTAAACATCATGAGCAACAACTGCGTCCGAGATTGTCCCTCATGTGGCTCAGGATATATCATGAGCTATGACCAGCACGCAATGTGCGAATCCTGTCTGGGGCCAGAGCACGCGGACGCGGCTCTCAGCCAGCAGGTCGCTTGCTCACATTGTGCCGTCTCCCATCAGCCGACAGGAAGCGAAGAGCGGACGCTCTAGCTGCTGCGGCCGACGAGGACGATTGGCCCGTCCAGGAGCACGTGGACGGCAGCATGTCCCTGGAGCCGAGTGCCGGGCAGGAGTCGAACGACTCCTACCCCGTCTCCCTCCATGGTTCACCTTGCGGTTCTCCCCTCCCTCCTCTCCCCCAGACGGGGGAGACAGAGTCGGAGCAGGGGGCTGGTTTGGCGGCCGAGCATGCGGTCCCCTTCTCCGTCGCCACAGGACGGCGCCCTACGTTGAGCTCCCCCAGAGAGTATGTCGCCCGCCAGGCCGACCGGGTGCACCAGTGTGCCTTTCAGGCGGCGGCGAATATCAACGCGCTGCTCTCCAACTCGGTGGTGACACTGGTAGACCGAAAGGGCTGTGCGGGGGCCTCCACACGCTGCGTCTCACTCCGACTCTCATCATGAGGCGCGTACACGCTCAGGGGATGAGTGGAGGTGTGTGCAGTGCTGTCCACACGAGGCGTTATAACGGCGCTCATGGGTTTATTATGACCGTGTGTAGGAGGCGTATCTCGGACGGAGGAATGCCGCGAGCTCTGCAGGTTATTAACCGAGGTTAAAACCGGCAGGCTTCTGCAGGGAGCCCTGCTGTCTACTTAATCAACAGATTAGTGACAGCCGGCTTAATTACCGGCTCTGCTTCCTCGGAGGCTCTCGCGGAGCAGACCAGGAGCGGGGAGCCTCACTCCCCTTTGACTCGCCGCCAGGAGACCCTGTCTCCCCTGGGGGAGCGGAGACGTGGGACGGAGCCCCTGCAGCCGCCGAAGGGCGAGTCTGACGCCAAGGCGGTTGCTGTGGGCGTCTCTCCGCTTGCGGCCTCCTGTGGCCGGCGTGGACATGTCAGCTGGCTCAGCAGGCTGGAGCCAGTTGACATGCTGGCGAATGCCGTCCTCCTGTTCCGCGGCCGTCTTCATGGACTCCACCATGGCGTGGAACTGGGGTCCTAACACATTTTGAGTCTTTGTAATAGGCTTAGTTGTTACTTTTTGGTCTGTAGTCATTTTGTGTGTGGTATATCATTGTGAGTTTCTTTGTGTCTTATTGCAACTGTTTAGTATCTCTTTATCTTGGTTTTGAATGTCACTGTTGTAGTTGTTTTGGTCTTCAAAAAGGTGTCTGAACGTTTTAGGTGTTAATTTACCCCTTTTCAAAGTCAATGTCAGTCTCTTTGTGTCTCCTTGCAGCCGTTTACATTTTGTTTTTGTGATTTTTTTTTGTTTCTTTGTGGTAATTGTATTCTCTTCTTGGCTGGTATGCATCTCTTTGTTTATCTGAAGGTCAGGGGGAAGCATTTGTACTCAGTAATTCATACAAAAACAATGATTTTTTTCTATTTTTACAAACTCACAGACGAGTCGACACACTAGTATTGTATTTACCTGTAAATGTCTTGGAGCTTTTCACGCCTGAACCCAAGCCCCCTGTGTGGGATCTCTGCTAACGAAGAGGAAACGTCCGCCTCGGCTCCTGTTTCAGTGTCGTCGTAGTTTGTAACCTCAGACACACGAAGACTCCTGTCTGTCAGCCACGGAGCACGATCTGACCACGTCTGTCTGCTCACCACTGACACGTCAGTTCTCGACTGTGGGCCGAGGATCAGGTTTAAGGTCCTGTCATCGGTGTCGGATTTGTTGGCTGCCACTACTTTGGATGCATACTTCTTGTCTAGGTGAAGAGGGGGAAGGTGTCTTTGGTAAACCGCTGCAAAAGCATGTTGTCTTTGGTTGATTTTTTCAGGGTGGTGATGAGTTTTTATCTTAGGGAGAGTCTGTAAAGATTGGTTTCTTCGCTTCTGATATTTGGTTTCTTTAAGCACGGGTATTGAAACAGGTGATGCGTGTTGAGCATGGATACAACGTTTGTTGTACCCTTGTCTCTGAAACGCCCTCTCTCTCAAGCTGTCAGTTAATGTATAATTCATCAAATCAATCAGATCGCCAATGAGCCCTCTCTTCACCGTGATATCAGCTTGGCAGTCCAGAGTCAGCGCGGGGCTGTAGTTCACCTCCAGAAGCCACGGTTTGAACTCTGCATCGATCAGGATGTCGAACCCCAACAGCTCCACGCAGTTCGGACAGGAAGGGACGGTGGGAGCGATGGTGAGGAGCGTCAGAGTCACGATGTTGTTGATCCTCTGCCACAAAAGGAGCTCGTTGATGTCTTGGCTCTGGAGGAAGTGCCTGAACTTGCTCATGGTCCACTTGCAGCCTCGGCCCACTCTCTCCTTCTCCGACTTGTAGAAGGGGCTGAACTTATTGATGCTGGTGTTGGTGAGATGAGCACACAGGTTGTGCACAGATGACAGGTTGTACTTCTCGGTGGCAAAGCGCACCAGACCTTCCTGGTGAATGTAAACCGTGAGTGGATGGAAGCTCTTCACACAGACGTAGATCCTCAGGTCGAACTTGTAGCCGGAGATGAGCAGAGAGTTACCGATGTAGCGCTGTACGATCACAGGGCAGTCGTAGACTAACTCCCTCATATCCTCGAAGATGAAGATGCCTCGGCCTCTGGAGAGATCCACAGGCTTACAGATCCAATAGGCCGACGGTCCTCTGGTCACTTTGTTGTACTCAGACAGGAAGCGAGTGTAGTCGTTGGGCAGGATGAAGGCGGTGGGACTGAAGTCGTAGAGAGACGAACCGAACGTGGCTCTCATTCTCTTCAGGTTGCGTGCCAAACAGTCCTATCGAAAAAGGAGACATTTTAGATAGGGGTCATTTTAACTGTAAGAGGCCTTGCTAAGCTTTTTCTTGTAGTGTGTTGTATAGGTTGTTGTGCATGTAAATGGTCTACAAAGGCTAAGATCCCTATAATCTTTATAATAATAAATCCCATAATGCTGGGCAGTTTTATTTCTTCAGAAAGTACAGATTGCTTTGGTTGAGATCTGGTACAAACTCCATAACCATACTGAAAGTTGTGACACACCGTGTGACAAAAAGCACAAACAGTAACACTGATGATTCATGTATCGATGTATCATATATAATAGCACTAAAATCTCTCTGCATTCTTTTAAAACACATTTAACACCACATCTCAGAGCGTCATCACCTTGCGTGTGATCCCGACAGTCTTGGGATGGTGGTTGAGGCGCTGCCATGGCATTAGGTTGAGATATTCTGAGTTGCGAAACGCAGATCCTCTCCAGTACAAGTTCCAGTCCTCTTCCTCCCGTTCCTCCTCATCATATTCCTCCCATCCTCGCTCCAAGAGCACCTCCCTCACCACCTCTGGACCTCGCTCATGGAGCCTGAACACCAGCGATGCCTCCATACAGCATGGTAAACTGTAGATTAACAGCAGATATATGGTAGATAAACAGAGGAGAAACGTGGAGCATGATATCAGAGAATTCTGACTTTATTTGGAGGAATGTATGAAGTGAACTGTCTTTGACATTAAACACATTACAATGATTCAGTTTAAATCATTATCTCATGGGGTGCTTCATAAATAAACATGAAATAATCTATTTATAAAAGTAGGAACCGAGATGCTACAACTTGTTTTAAATAATCCAGTAGTTGTCCGTGCACCAACAGACAGTAGCAGCTAATTTGACAAACTATTCATAGCACCGGTTTGCTAACAAATATAGACTCCAAGTACAGAGACGCAAAGAGATTAAAAGAATGCTAAAAAGGCCAAAAGCAATAATGTGGAGCCACGTACCGCTTTAAGAAGATGCAGACTAACAGTTCGTCCGCAGGCTGGTCCCAGCACCTTGTGAGCGGTGGTAAATCTGAGATGCCCAAATAAACCCGACACTTATACCCACCGGCACAGAGAGGCAACAGTGTGTCAGCACACTTACAAATACATGAGAACAACTTTTATTATCCTAAAAAAAGTCTGAAAGGATAGAAAAAGATCTGCATTTAACTTAAGATGAATACCTACACACATAATAGTAAAGTTAACGTCTTATAAACACAGATAAAGAAGCCGTTATATATAACGGGCTTGTCGACACTAATATTGAGACATTTAACATTTATGCTAGATTATGTAAAGCAGGATCTTCCCATTACTACATCATAGTCTATCGTTTCTGGCAGGTAAATGAAGTGATAAGAAGCTGTTAGTGCAGGGGTTCCCAAACCTTTCAGCCCGGGACCCCCAAAATAACAGTGCTAGTGACTGGCGACCCCTGTCAACTGGGGGGGGGGGGGTAGTGAATCTAATTTTACCTTCGATTGCATGATATAGCCTAGCGCAACACCTTCGTCACACACGTTGCCACTTGTTTGTAGCATTTTCAGGCGATTTGTAATCCATTCTAGAAAACGATGTGTTTTTAGGATTTCAAGAAGCGTATAGAACAAACAATGGATGTATTTTATGAACAATTATCCATGTTGGAAGTAGATTTAGATGGTTTAGGAGTGAGAAAGAGATTATCTAGTATATGCATCAAATGAAGCATTGCATGAAGTCTGTTGATGATCAGAGGCTGTTGTTGGGGCTGCAAAAACTTTATTTAAAAAAAAAATGTGTTTTGTGGTTCATGTTTTAATAGCATTTTTACAAAAAAAAGCCCAGGCCAGCCCAACGTGAGAAACAATGGCTAACAGGTACAGTACACAGGCTGTGCTTTAGCTCCTCCTACAACACAAACAATCAGAGCCTACTGTTAGCACTTCATTGTTTATTTGAATATATTGTGGCGATACCAACGAGGGTTAGAAAACAGTTTAAGGTACAACAAATGTTGGCATTTTAGCTGTGGATATTACTTACTTGGGTAAAAGAAAAAACATGAAGTGGCCTTTCCAGTAGTGAAACCAATTTGCTTTCAATTAGATTAATTGATCACATTTTCAAAAATATAAAAAAAGGTTTTCATAAGAAAGATGTTTTTATTTCAGTGTCTTTAAAAGATGAAGAAATTAAATACTTTAAAAAGGTTACTTCTGATCACAGAGCGGTATATTTAAGCAATAGCTCACGACAGGCCGTGGTATATATGCTCATTATATTCGCGGAGGGTCGACAACCCCCTTAGCTGTGATATGAGCATATATCACGGCCTGAAGTGAGCTATTGCTTTTATAAAACG